ACCCAGGCCCAGAGTTCAAGCCCTTGACCGACAAAAAAAAAAAAAAAGATAACTACTTAAGGAAAGAAAGAAGTAGATGAAAGTAATCAGGCATGGAGTATCAGGTATTAGTGGTTGGCAGAGTTGGGTATCATTGAAGTCAAGAACAGAACCAGCAAGAGAAACTGAAGTATTAGTGGTAAGATAGAAATGGTAGAAATGGTGATGTTTTGAAAATGCAGAGAAGAATGATAAATGAGGAAGAAAAGGTGTCACATGTTGCTGATAGGCCAAATAAGAGGAAGACTAAAATTAGACCAAAATTAGTTATGTAGAGTTATATAGATATGTGGTTATGTAGATATGTAGAGTTTATTAGTGACCTCTATGTGTGCAGTAAGTTCAAGAGAACTGTAAAATTCTTTTAGGAATTTTCTTACACAGTGAAGAAATGGAAGTAGCAGGAATGGAGAGGAGAGAGAGTGTGTTAGAGTAAAAGGAATAATACCATGTTTGTTTGATGGAAATAAAGAATTAAGAAAGAAAGTCAAGCACCAGTCACTTGTGCCTATAATCCTAGCTGCTCAGGAGGCTGAGATTTGAGAATTGATCTGAGGATCATGGTTCAAAGCCAAGTCCAGGCACGAAAATCTGTGAGACTCTTGTCTCTAACTTCCAAGAAAGCTAGAAGTGGAGCTGTGGCTCAAGTGGTAGAGTACTAACATTGAGAGAGACAGAGACACACAGAGAGAAACAGAGAAAGAGAGAGAAAAGCTCAGGGATACAGCCACTAAAGGAGAGGCCCTTGAGTTCAAACCCTAAGATTGGCACAGAAAAGGTGGGGGGAGGGGTGAATGATGTAGAAAAGTGGGAATTAGTTGCTTAGTCCTTAACCTTGAGTTGATAAGTTAAGATCTGGTCTCCAAGTGAAAAGATGACTTCAGATAAGTAGGAGATTGGAGATAGGTTCTTGGGCTGGAGAGATTTTGTATATATACTCTGTGGCTTCAGTTTCTGATTCAAGAATTACTAATCAAGAATTTAAAAGTTGAAACTGGCCACCAATGGCTCACACCTGTAATCCTAACTATTCAGGAGGCTGAGATCTGAGGATTGCAGTTTGAAGCCAGCTGGGACATAAAAGTCCATGTGAGATTCTTCTATCCAATTAGTAAGAAGCTGGAAATAAAGGTGTGACTTCAATGGTAGAGTGCCAACCTTGAGCAAAAAAGCACAAAGAAGGGGAGAATGCAGTCAAGAATCCAATGTATAACCTATAAATTTTTTTTAAAAAGTGAGAGAGGGATGGGTAAAAATGTTGAAAGGGGTGATCAAGCCAGGCGCTGGTGGCTCACGCCTGTAATCCTAGCTACTCAGGAGGCTGAGATCTGAGGATTGCAGTTCAAAGCCAGCCCAGGCAGGAGAGACCGTGAGACTCCTATCTCCAATAAACCACTAGAAAACCGGAAGTGGCGCTGTAGCTCAAGTGGTAGAGCACTCGCCTTGAGCTGAAGAGCTGAAGGTCAGCGCCCAGGCCCAGAGTTCAAGCCCCACGACCAACAAAAAAAAAAAAAAAAAAAGAAAGGGGTGATCAGATACTACATTCATAAACTGCTTTGTTAAATGGCAACTCCTTTGTACAGCTACATTTAAAAAAGAGCTGGGCACCAGTGGCTCACACCTGTAATCCTGCCTACTCAAGAGGCTGAGATATGAGGATCATGGATCAAAGCCAGCCCAGGCAGGAAAGTTTGTGAGACTCTTTTTTTTTGTTTGGGTTTTTTTTTTTTAACGTATTTTTTTTTGTCTTTTCTTTTTTAGTACTGGAGATTGAACCCAGGACATTGCACTTGCTAGGCAAGCACTTTGCCACTGAGCTACATCCCAGCCCTATGAGACTCTTATCTCCAGTTAACTACCAGAAAACTGGAAGTGGCTCTGTGGCTTAAGTGATAGAACACTGGCCTTGAGTAGAAGAGCTCAGGGACTGCTCTCAGGCCCAGAATTCAAGCCCTACAACTGACCCCCCCCCAAAAAAAAAAAAAAAGCCAAAACCGGAAGTCAAACCCCAAGGCCTGAAAAAAAAAAAAAACTATTTATAGGCTGGGAATGTGGATTAGTGGTAGAGTGTTTGCCTAGCATGCATGAAGCTCTAGGTTCATTCCTCAGTACCACATAAACAGAAGAAGCTATGGCTTAAGTGGTAGAGTGCTATCCTTAAGCAAAAGAAGCTCAGGGACAGTGCCCAGGCCTGACCAAAAACATTTAAGCACACACACACACACACACACAGAGAACTTACAAGTTGAGCCAGGTGCCAGTGATTCCTGCCTGTAATTCTACTCAGCAGGCTGAGATATGGGGATTGCGGTTCAAAGCCAGTTTGGGCAGGAAAGTCCATTAGACTTTTGGGGGGATGCAGGAGGAAAAGGGGGTTTGGTCATGGGGCTTGAACTCTTCAGCTCAAGGCTAGTGCTCTACCACTTGAGCCATAGTGCCACTTCCAGCCTTTTCTGCTTATGTGTTGCTGAGGAATCGAACCAAGGGCCTCATGCATGCAAGGAAAGCACTCTCTGGCCATCTTCCTAACCCATATTTCACCACCATGTTTTTTGTTTTGTTTTGTTTTTGCAATCCTGGGGCTTGAACTCAAGGCCTGGGTACTGTCCCTGAGCCTCTTGGTGCTCAAGGCTAGCACTCAACCACTTGAGCCACAGCGCCACTTCTGGCTTTTTCTGTATATGTGTACTGAGGAATTGAACCCAGGGCTTCATGCATGCTAGACAGGCACTCTACCACTGAGCCACCTTCCCAGCCCCAGGAAACTCTTATCTCCAATTAACCACTAGAAAAACCAGAAGTAGCACTGTGACTCAAGTGATAGAGCGCTTGCTTGCCTTGAGCTGAAAGAGCTGAGGGACAGCGCCCAGGCCCAGAATGCAAGCCCCACAACTAATTAAAAAAAAAAAAAAAGAACTTAAAAGTTGAAATATAAAGGCTTTATGTATACCCATAATCTTGGACATGTAGTTGTAGCATTTAAAGGATCTTTAATTCACTGAATGACTGTATTATACCTTCTACAGGGGAGTTGTAAATTCAACTCAGTAGATGTGTGTATTTTGAGTTAAATCCTGTGGCAAAGACCTCTGTTATCATGTAAGACACTCAAGAAGTGCTGTTATTTGGAAGATACAGTCAATAGGTGCTAAATTAGGTTTATCTTATCTCTCTGGTCCGGAAATATACTTTATCAATGTTTTTAATGTTAGATCTTGAAAATACTAAGTAAATATGTGCATTTAATTCACAGCCCTACAACATCTCCCCTGTCTACTTTACAATGTAGTTTCCTAATACAGTGGCTACTGTTATCATTGCTGACAGCAGTCAATGGGAAATTTGGGTCAGGAACTTTATAAGATGTTTTATTCTTTCCTTTTTTTTTTTTTTTTGCCATGGGGCTTGAACTCTGGGCTTGGGTGCTATCCCTCAGCCCTTCAGCTCAAGGCTAGTATTCTAACCACTTGAGTCCCACAGTGCCATTTCCGGTTTTCTGGTCATTTATTGGAGATAAGAGTCTCACGCCCAGCTTATTCCTACATGTTTACTTGTGTTAACAAAATATGTTAATTTAATTGTACAATAAAAATAATTGGTTTTGGCCAGACAATGGTGGCTCACGCCTGTAATTCTAGCTACTCAGGAAGCTGAGATCTGAGGATCACGGTTCAAAGCCAGCCCAGCCGAAAAGTCCCTATGAGACTCTTACCTCCAATTAACTACTCAAAAACCTAAAGTAGCACTGTGATTCAAGTGGTAGAGCACTAGCCTCAAGTACAAAGAGGCTCAAGGACAATACCCAGGCCCTGAGTTTCAAGCCCCATGACCGAAAAAAAAAAAAGAATTGGTTTTGTATATACCATCCTTTAGCTTTTAAGTCCGTAGCAGGTAGGTAGTGATTTACACATATCTAAAAAATTGTCTAATGATTTGTTTGTAAAGAGTATTCAATACTTAATACATGGTTTTGTATGCCTTAAACTTAGATGTCTAGTTATTTGAATATGCGTTGAAAAAGCCTAATATCTTTTCACTTTTCTGGAAAACTATGAAGCTAAGTTACATTGGGCTCAATGGCAGTTAGTACAATGCCTCCAGAATAGCACATAATAGAATCATAATTTATACATTCAGCTGTTAGAATACCATAAAACTGGCGTCATAATGATAAAAGCTTGATAGAGAATAATATTCAATGGGGCTGGGAAGGTGGCTCAGTGGTAGAGTGTTTGCCTTGCATGCATGAGGTCCTGGGTTCAATTCCTCAGCACCACATAAGCAGGAAAATCTAGAAGTGGTGCTGTAGCTCAATTGGTAGAGTACTACTAGTCTTGAGCTGAAGAGCTGAGGGACAGTGCCCAGGCCCAGAGTTCAGGCCCCACGACCGACAAAAAAAGAGGGAGAGAATAATGTTCAACTAAAAATAGCATGTTGAATATCCAACTAAAATAAATCGACTTTGTGTAACTACAAAAATTAGCCTTGCTTATCTTTATATTCTGTATCAAGTTGCACAATGAGCAAGTCAGAGAAGCAGTATTCTTACCAAGTTCTGCAGAAGTTAAGGGTTGCCAGGAACCTGGTTGAAAAGACCAGTCTAAAATGGCCCTTTCACTCTACAGTAGCCAATAGGATTCAGAAATGGGAGGGGAGAGTAAGAGAATGATTTCCTTTATAAGAAGCAGCAGCATTTGAGGCTCTTAATATAGGTTCAGTAATAAAGATAAATGTTTGAACAGGCCATTTCCTAGAATTTAGGATATAATATTTAGCTATTCATGGAAGTCTATTCAAATCTGAGTTCCCATCAAATTATTCACAACTATTTCTGAAGCATAAAATCATCCAACTTCATAAAAGTATTTTGAATCTTAGAAAAATATGAAACATTTAGAAAAATCAGAAAATATGGAACACATCATTGTTGAAGTGTTTTTTGTCATTTGTTTGTATTGTAGGTCCAGTTGTTTATGTCTTGGATCTTGCAGATAGACTGATCTCAAAAGCTTGTCCATTTGCTGCTGCAGGAATAATGGTTGGCTCTATCTACTGGACAGCTGTGACTTATGGAGCTGTGACAGTGATGCAGGTTCTTTATTTTACTCTTTATTTGCAGATGTGACTTTTGATGTGAAGAGGTATTCGTAAATATTTTGGGCAGTTTTTATTATTTTGAGGAAGTACTACTATTCTCCTAGCTTAACACTAAGAAAGTATATAGCAAGCTAGTTACTGCAAAGTCTTTTTATTCCTTTTCTTCATTTTCCTGGGTTACTCCCTCATCTTCCCTGGTGGTCACTCCTGTTAATTTTATATACATTCTTCCAGACTGATTTTATGAATATACAAGAAAGACTCAAGATGCGCGTGCATACACACATACACGTTTTTTCCCCCCAAAAGGAGGTACAGTATAACTACAACTTTTTTCATAGTAAGTCTTAAATATTTTCACATAAATACATATTTTCTTTTCCATGAATCTAGGTATGAGAAATTTGAGAAGGAACCTTTTCTTGCCTTTTTTTTTTTTTAATTTGTGTTTTCTGTTTTGACATCTCCCCAAGCTTTTTAGTTTAGTTTCTCTTTTCTTGGAGATAGAGTTGTCTTATGTTTTACCCATGGTCTTCAACTTGTATATTCAAGTGATCCTCCTCCTTCAGCCTCCTGAATTACTTGAACTGTAGGGTGAGCCACTGTACCTGACTCTCTACTTGTATTTTTATTATAAAGACAATAACGTCCCCTGCCCTCCCTCTAGTCCAGCACTAAGCCAAATACTTTTTTTTACACTGCAAACATTTTAGTGATTATTGTTGAACATACATTTTTGGAAATTTACTTCAAACTGCAACAAATTAACATTTGTTAACATTTAACATTTCAATAAATGTTAATAATATACAGAGAAAATACAACCAAACATAAAACTTGCTTCAAGTGTGCCTTGCACCTAGACCAGTGTTTCCCCCGCCCTTAATATATCTTTCATTTTTGAGCTGCACACACTTAAGAATTTGATTTTTATAGTATATGAGCCAGATATTTTTTAAACATTCATACATACTTGAAACTATTTCATGTCATAGATACTGTTAATTATTTCTACTTTACTGTATGTCCAGTACCACAAATCAAGAGAAAAGCCTGAGGATTTTTATCTCAATCTGGATTAGAGGCAACCAAAACATTTTATCCTGGATGGTCATAGGTGTATATCACTTTTTCCTTTAGTATGATTATAACTCACATAAATACTGTCTTTTTCTTTTTTGAGGCAGGGTCTCAGTATGTTGCTCAGGCTAGTCTTGAACTCCCAGGTACTTAAGACTGAAGACATAATGCTATTGTGCGCAGAACTTGCACATGTAAAGCATAAACTTCTTACCATTGAACTGTTCTTAGTCACAGAAGTGAGTTTTTATGCCATTTGATTTTTCTTTTTTTTTTCCTTTTGTTCTGTAGTTTGAACTCTGTGCCTTGTGCTTTCTAGGACAGGCTCTCTACCACTTGATTCATGCTCCTAGACCATTTTTTGCTTTAGTCTTTTTTTTTTTTTTTGTCTGTTGTGGGTCCTGAACTCTGGGCCTAGGCACTGTCCTTCAGTTCTTCAGCTCAAAGCTAGCCCTCTATCACTTGAACCACAGCACCACTTCCGTTTTTTTCTGCTTATGTGGTGCTGAGGAATTGAACCCAGGGCCTCATGCATGTAAGGCAAGCACTAAGCCACCTTCCCAGCCCCAACTTCAGTCATTTTTCATGTTTTATGTTTTTTGCCCGGAACTGGCCATGGACCAGGATCCTTGGATCTCTTGGTTCCCAAGTAGCTAAGATTATAGGCATGTACCATCATGGCTGGACCTTTATTATTATTGCTGTTTAAGTATTTGTACAAAAGGATTTCAGTGCAACATGTCAGTTTATAACTACAGTATATCTTGATCTATGTCACCCCTTCTATCATTTTCTCATCTTTCCCAACCCCATCTATACCCTAAAGTTACCTGGTTCCATTTTCATATATGTATATTGAATATTACAACTGTATTTATTCACTCTTCCTCTATTTGTCCTCCCTCCTTGGCCCATCACTATGCACCTGTTGGTTCAGAGAAGTTACACCATTGGAATTCTCCTCTGCATATACCATACTTTAGTCTTTTTGTTTATGAGTATATATGTATATTACCCAGATATGTTTTCATATGTGTTTTTAATTTATACATAACTTTCACATATGAGAGAAAACATATTCCCTTTTATCTCTGAACCTGACAACTTACTTCACCCAACATATTTTTTCCAGGTCCATCCATTTTCATGCAAATGATATATTCTTGCTGATGGATAAGTAAAATTCCATTGTGTGTGTGTGTGTGTATACACCCATATATATGTATATATATGGGTGTGTGTATATATATATATATATATATATGGATGTATGTGTGTGTGCATAGCTATACATTCTACATATATACAATGGAATTTTTAACTTTTTTTTTTTTTTTTGTCAGTTGTGGGGCCTGAACTCTGGGGCCTGGGCACTGTCCCTCCTCTCTTCAGCTCAAGGCTAATACTCCACCACTTGAGCCATAGCACCACTTCTGACTTTTTCTGATTATGTGGTGCTGAGGAATCGAGCCCAGGGCCTCATGCATGCAAGGCAAGCACTCTACCACTGAGCCACCTTCCCAGCCCCTTTTTAACTTTTTGAGACAGAGATTTACTATGTAGCCCTGTCTGGCCCTTTCTTGACTTCCTAAGTGCTAGAATTACAGGCATATGCTACTAAGCCCAAAGTAGAAACTTTTTTGGGGGGTAGGGGGAAGTGGGGATTAGGTACCAGGACTTGAACTCAGCTTCTCCCTCACTTGGCTTGCTTATGGCTGACACTCTACCACATTCAAGCCACACCTCCAGTGTAGTAGCATCTTTTTTTTTTTTTTTTTTTGTCGATCATGGGGCCTGAACTCTGGGCCTAGGCGCTGTCCTTCAGCTCAAGGCTAGCGCTCTATCCCTTGAGCCACAGCGCCACTTCCAGCTCTTTCTGCTTATATGGTGCTGAGGAATCAAACCCAAGGCCTCATGCATGCAAGGCAAGCACTCTACTACTGAGCCACCTTCCCAGCCCCAATAGCATCTTCTTAAAAAGCAATCCTACCACTTGGCTGGCTGTGTTTATATCCTAGAAAGAAGAGCAGAAAAACAGATGTTCTTCTGGGAGACAAATAAGATCTAGCATTATATCCCAATTGTACAGTCCACTCTAACCAAATCAAGTAAGAAGAATAGAAACATAGAAGTAGTCCATGTGAGCCAAGTGTGGTAGCACATATCTGTAATCCCAGGACAGATGAGGTCAGGGATCACAAGTTTGAGGCCAGCCTGTACAACTTAGCGAGACTTGGTCTTTTTTTAAAAAAAATTAATGTAGGCAGACATAAGGCTTTTTTAATTCCAATGTAATATGAAGTAACAAGGATAACAACTTTGCAGCATTTTTTTGTTGTTATTGGGGTTTGGACTCTGGACTTTGTGCTTGCTCACCTCACATGTCCTATCACTTGAGCAATGCCTGCAGTCTGGCTTTTGGCTACTTATTTGGAGGTGAAGTCTCATGGGTTTTTCTGTCCAGGATGGCTTTGAACCACAGTCCTTTTAGTTTCAGCCTCCTGAGTAGCTAGGATTTACAGGTATGAGCCATCAGTGACCAGCCCAGTTTTGTTTTTAAGTTTTTTATTTTTGTGTTCTTTTGAAGTTAAGCATTTCCTTCAAAATGAACTGAGCTCAGACATGCACCATTTCATTAGACGAGGAAGTGATACTAGCAAATGCCATCTATCTTTCCACAGGTTGTAGGCCATAAAGAAGGGCTGGATGTTATGGAAAGAGCCGATCCTTTATTCCTTTTAATTGGACTTCCTACTATTCCTGTCATGCTGATATTAGGCAAGATGATTCGCTGGGAGGACTATGTGCTTAGACTGTGGCGCAAATACTCAAATAAACTACAAATTTTGAACAGTATATTTCCAGGTAGGCCCTGAAATTTGGTTATAAAGGGCAAAGTGCATGTCAAATTGGCCTATAGAAGATTAATACACGTTTTAAAGAAATGTTTTAAGATTTTTTAAAGCTAATCTTAGGTAATGTACTAATAGTGAATTTTTTTTTCTGTAGGAATTGGTTGCCCTGTTCCTCGAATTCCAGCTGAAGCTAATCCTTTAGCAGATCATGTCTCTGCTACCCGAATTTTATGTGGAGCCCTTGTCTTTCCTACTATTGCGACAATAGTTGGTAAACTGATGTTCAGTAGTGTTAACTCTAATTTACAAAGGACAATCTTGGTAAGATGGCTTTAATACCACTGTTTTCAAGTAATATGCAAAAGAGAATGAACTGTATTTTTTTTTAATGTGCAGGGGAACTTTACTCAATAATCAGGGGAGATTTATTTTTCTCTGTTTTATGTGCACTTTTATGGCAGTGATCTGAGCCATACAAATACTCAGCTTGTGATTCCTGTACCTGAAGCTTCTATTTGATCCCACTATTATTCCATCAAGGGAAATAAAAATGGGAGGAATCACTGAAGTAGCTCTCTTTCTAAACTATTCTGTGGGTAATTGCTCTTCTGTAATATGTTATGAATTGTCACACCTACCCTTCTACCAACCGAACTATGGCAGTTTCTGCTTTAGGTTCTGACTGTCTGGTTTAAATCCTAATATAAATAGCCTTGTGAAATGTAAATCAAGTTTCTTGACTTCTCTGTGCCTGGAGACTGAGAATTGTCGCTACTTCATAGTAATTATGAGGGTTATGTAAGATAAATATTGGCACATAATAAGCACTTGTGTTATTTACTGTCATCATTATTTTCCTTTCCCTCCTCTGGTGGCAGTCTGTAGTATATAGTGCTCTGGCAAGGCAACTCTGCTTTCTATATCAGAATGAATCTAGAGTTAAATGGATGGAAGATTACTTAGTAATGGGGAAAGCATCTCTGTCTTCTGTTACTTTGCAGTCCCCATGTCTCCTTTGCTCACTCAATAGAAAAGGTGAATGTTTCACTTGCAAATACCTCAGTTCTGTAAACATCAAAGCCTGTGTCTCTCATGATAAGTAAACTTTTTTTTATTATTTTCTCTAAACCTGCATTGTAACGAGCTGATTTTCTTTTCTTTTAGGGTGGAATTGCTTTTGTTGCCATAAAAGGAGCATTTAAGGTTTACTTCAAACAGCAGCAATATTTACGTCAGGCACACCGCAAAATTCTAAATTATCCAGAGCAGGAAGAAGCATAAAATTGTGACTTCTGGTGGTTCTGCAGTCCTCTTCTCTTTATGAGTCTGTTGTGTTGTTTTGATTCCATCATTAATGCACTAGTGGAGATTTGTGATAAGCTGCTGCTCCTATATTTTTAAGAAATATAATAAAGCACTTAGGGCAGAGGAAATCCTCTCAGTAATCACGGAAGCTAAGAATGATTTGTTTTCATTGTTATGTACTTCTTTTATGGCAGTCATCTGAACCATTATCTTAGCATGGTAAGCCTGAGTTTGTTCATATTTTCTCCAGACCGAAATGTCTACTAAATCAAACTGTATAAATATTAAAAAATGCACATGCTGTTTAATTCTAATGTCTCTTTTGTACATGTTCATGTTTAATGTTTTCTTAGAAACAACAACTCTATGAAGGAATTATGAGGATTTTTCTCTTTTGGCATAATTTGATTATATGCTAAAACAGGAGCATATCTTAATATGTGAAAATATACATTAAATTAGTTATGAATAAGTAACAAGCCAAAAGTATATGTAAACATTCAAATGATTATCTGAACAAATGAGATTTTGTTGTGTTTTCTTTAACTTGGTGATATCCTCCAAAATGTGTAGGGTAAAACTTCACAGGGCTTCCAGATCCCTTTTTCGCTATTAAATTTTATTTATAAAACATTGACATCTCATAGTTCATAATGTAATTTTGACTCGTGTAGTCTTGGTTACTGTGTGTGCGTGTGTGTGTGTGTGTGTGTGTGTGTGTATGTGAGAGAGACAGACAGACAGACACAAGACAGATGGGGAGGATGAGAATCAGGTCCCTCTATGAAATAAAATTTTCTAAAGCCCTATTTATAAAAACTAAAGCTGCCAGATCATAGTGTGAGCAGAGAACAATTTGCAAAAAACAAAAATGAATAAAGCTGTTTGACTCCCCCTTGTACCTTAGTTCAATTCTGCAGGTATCTTTTGATCACTTCCTATTTGCCCAAGAACTATGCAGAGTGATGTGGGTACAGAGGTGAATAGGACACACTTGTTCCTGGCCCTTAAAGTTGTTAGTCTAGTTTCAGCAGAGAGAAAACCAGCAGTAAGAAAACCAAGGTGAGTCCTTGAACTCTTTGCTTCTATATTGGTCAGGGAAAGAGTATGAAAACAATCAGATAAATATTGAAGTAATTCTTTTTGTATATGAAAATCAGTTTATAATAGAAAAACACTAGTAATACCTAAATTTTAATTGCTTATATATTAATGGGGCTAGCACCTTCATAATCATTGTTGACTAGTTTTATCTTCATTTTTCAAAAGCAGTTATTTAAGCCATTTGCATAGAGTGGCCATTTTAATGTTCAGCAATCTGAATGGTCTTTTCATTAATTAAAATTAGATTTTTGGAAAATAGCTCAAAAATTCCCATGGTTTTTTTGTTGTTGTTGTTTGCAATATCTAATGCATGGCAATAGTTAAATGTTTCCCCTCACTGGTAAAAGGCCACTTAAGAGTGTGGCAAATATAGATTGAGCTATGTATGTTAGATTGCAATAATGTATGTTAGTTTTAATAAGTAAAGACCAGTGTTTTTCTACAATATGAATGTCTTAATTTTGAGTTACAAGGTATCTATGTGGATGGCTGTTGAAAAGTCATAGTTGTAATAATTTAGAGAGAAAGGAAAGATTTGACTGAGCAAGCCTTATTAAGAACACCACTACTTGCTACTGTTCATTCTGAAAGGAAATATGAATTCTATGATTATATATAAAAATAACTTAGATTAGCTATAATGGTAAAGTATATTGGCTTTTCTTTAATTTCTGATATGAAAAGATATATTGAATAGACATTTCCTGCACAATTTTGTTACATAGAACAGCTTTTAGGCAGCCTTTATTTATAAAGTTATGCAAGCACACATTTTCCCCATTTACTACTTCAGTGCCCAAGATTGGAGGTAGCTACATGGTTTATTGCATCAGGGCCCTGGAGGGTCAAGGAAACAATTCTAATCTTTTGGGGATGGGGGAGGAGGGTTCTGTGGCTGTAGGGGAGGAACTGCAAGTGCCTGAGGACCAGAGTGACCTCTGGCTCTGCAACTGAACACTTAAATCTAAAGAGCCTTCTCTCAAGAAGTGCCAGTCTTTAAAGGAAGGTAGCCAGCACCACTATGATGCAACAGAAGAACATGAACAACGTCAGTTGGATGGACTGCACTGAAATCCAAGTCAGTATATAATAACTATGGGTGATCTTGGCCAAGTGACTTCTCAGCCACCATTCTCTGCATCTCCTAAATGCAAGTAATGCTTGGAAAACTTTCTAGGATTAACTGATTAAAGGAACAGAGGCACTTTAGATACAAAAAGTAACTCCTAAGGAATAGTAGCTGTTTCATAATTGTATAGTTTGTACTCTAGGAAAAGAGTGAAGAGGTAAAAGGCAGTAGAGGACAAATTAAGGTGATGATTAAGTCTTTGGGGATAGGTGAGTATATTTTTTTTCTGTTTATTTTCATAATGCTTTTCTGTGTTTCTAGAAACTAATGTTTTAAACCTCTTTTATAAAATTTAGTGACTAGTAGAATTCTATTTATTGCAGAAGTTATCTTAATTTAAGTGGCTGAAAGTATTGTTTATTACCTAATTATCAAATGACTACAAAGAACATAACATTAAATTCAGTGACGTAGTCACTGGCTTGCTAATTCTGCTGTAATTTTTTTAAATGTCTTGTTTTTAATATAGCAGATTATCTCAATACTGGCTGGAATAGGTTGAATAAAGAATTTTTATGTTCTCTTAAGTGTACTTTGTCTGTTGAACAACTCCCCAAATTCATTAATTCTGTATGTAACTAACTTTATTATGCTTAGCAAGATTCTGGTGAGATGTATTTATGTAATCTGAATTTTTATATTGTAAAGAAATTTGTCTTAATTCCCAAGACTGTTCTTGGACTCAGTATAATTAGGTAGGCAACAGCAGAATCTGCTAGCATCTCACACCATGGAGTCTTTGTGGGGGAGGGGAGTACTGGATCTTACACTCAGAGCCTTGGGCTCTTCCTCAGCTTTTTTGCTCAAGGCACTTTTTTGCTCAGCCACTTGAATCATGTGTCTGCTTCTGGCTTTTTGCTGGCTAATTATCAATAGAGTCTTGTGGACTCTTCTGCCCAGGCTAGCTTTGAACCATGATCCTTAGATCTCAACCTCCTAAGTAGGATTATGAGCATGAGCTACTGGTGCCCAGCAATGCTTAGAATTCTTGATGTAAGTACACAAGTCTTGATTCACTGTGAGTCAATTAAAGTGGAATAGTCATCAGGATAGCATGTAGAAAACAGGTACCTTCTGCCAGCTCATGTCTAGTAGGGTTCTCTTCATACTCTCCTCTCAAATGTCCAGCACCTCCTTGCCTGGCCTCAATTTCAACTGATGAGATCATGCTCTCTAGTTCATTGAGAAACAATTAGTTATTAGAAAGCCTACAAGTACCCTCAATCCTGAAAATTACTTATATTTATATTCAGGATAATTACTTTGTCCTCTCTTAGACATACTATTGGTGTTAACATGCAATCCCATCTTCTCCCAACATTCTTTTCTCCTGCATCAAAAGTTTAAACCACCTCAAGACACTTATTTCTCACCTTTCTGCAAAGTTCTTTTTAAAAGTTGGTAATATTTTTAATTTGTCTTTCTCTCTTTCAAAAACTTTTTAGAACACATAACAAAATTAATTTTAAAGTATAATCCGTGGTTCTTACTGCAGTTGACTTAGCCTCTACTGATAATGCAGAATACCATGAGATTGAGTAACTTCTAAATGGCTAGAATCACAGCCTGTGTCACCACTTCTGGCACCATCTTTTTTTTTTTTTTTTTTTTTTTAGTTTCATTGGTTTTTGGTTTTGGTTTGGGGTTCGTTTAGCAGCTTAGTCTTGTGATGTTGCATCAGCTGATTACAAATTCAGGATCCTCCTACTTTAACTTCCTGAGTGCTAGGATTATAGGCATTTGTCATCAGGCCAGCTATGGCTCCATCTTTTTTTCGGGGGGGGGGGTCAGCCGTGGGTCTTTAACTCTGAGTCTAGGTGCTGTCCCTGAGCTCTTCAGCTCCAGGCTAGCACTCTACCACTTGAGCCACAGTGCCACTTCCAGTTTTCCAGTCATTACTTGGAGATAAGAGTCCCATGGACATTCCTGTCTGGGCTGGGTTTGGACCATGATCCTCAGATCTCAGCTGCCTGAGTAGCTAGGATTACAGGCATGAGCCATTGGTGCCCAGACTCCATCATTCTTAAAACATTTATTCACTGGGCTATTAGGGATGCCACCCTTTTGACACCTTCAAAGTGATGAGTTCAATGTCTCAGTGCTTGGACTTCTTTTCTTGGTGTATGCTCCATAAGGGAATTCTTCCAGACTCCTGACCATCTCGGTGATCTATCATCTAAATTTGTAACTTCAAATTGTTAGCCTGAATTCCCTACTAACATATTTAACTACCTTATTCAACATCTATATGCTATAGGAAATAAGAGGGAACAAAGAACACAAGGGCACATATGAGAGCCCCCAGATATTGCCATGTTAATCAGAGGCAATTGAACCCCTACAAGAAAAATTCCCAGCGAAGTAAAATATACTTTGTTATGCAGCAACAGATAAGTGAGACACACAGTGACAGCTGTTAGTCCCTAGCAAAAAGTTCATAGGAAAGTTAAACATCTAAATATTGGTTTAATCAACAAGCACATTGTTTTTTGGGTTTTTGTTGGTCATGGGGCATGGAACTCTGGGCCTGGGTGCTGTCCCTCAGCTCTTCAGCTCAAGGCGAGTGCTCTACCACATGAGCCACGGTGCCAATTCTGGTTTCCTGGTGGTTAATTGGAGATAGGAGACTAATGGACTTTCCTGCCTGGGCTGGCTTTGAACCATGATCCTTAGATCTCATCCTCCTGAGTAGCATTACAGGCGTGAGCCACCAGCGCCCAGCAACGAGAACATTCCTATGGTTAAGGAAGCATGATGCTTCTTCAGTCTGAAGTCAGGAAACCTTGGTGATATACATGTCTTGTTCTAAACCCATGTCCACCAGACATCCTCCTCAAATCCAGAGTCCACCCTGCAACATGGATGTCTCCTACTGACCTTGTTGTATCCCCCCCCATCCAATTAGCAAAATTATCTTTTGGCCTTGTAGCTTGATCATGAAAGAATGTGTTAATTATGAGACCATTAGCATTCTGCTCTGTCCTTATGAGAGCTGCGACTTAATGGCATTCTGAAATCTGCATCCATTTTTGTGAGAGCTCTTCACCTGGAGGATTGAGGAGATCCAAATGTTTGAGACTGTAGAGAAGGATGATTTCAACTGCTTTCTACATGAAGACTCCTCTCTGGATCAGTGCAAGATCTATTTGTCTCCTATTGATTTCTACTCTTACTTTCTCACATTTAGCAGGTGAGAGCACATGACAGGATAAATGCCTTAACTGTTCAGCATTCTTCCCCACCTGTTATAAATCTATTCCTCAATGCTATAACATCCACCAAATACCTGATTTTAAATGGGATGCCATGCTTTTTGTATTCAATTATGCAATAATCACATCTCATCCTTGACCTAATGTTTTCTTGCTCTGCATTGCCTTCAATTTTAAGTTACAGTGGATTTTATGAATTATCCAAGGCCCAACCATTAATCAATGGCTCTCCTGGGAGCCCTTTAGGTCTTGTGTAGGTATGACATTGTTAGTAGAGACACTCAGCAGCCTACAGGAGTTCTCTGCAGTCCCAGGGAGTACTGGTCTGACAAAAAGTGAAGTTCTACTACCAAGAACCAATTTCAGGGGCTTGGAAGTTGGCTTAGTGATAAAGTGCTTGCCTTGCATGCATGAGGCCCTAGGTTCGATTCCTCAGCACCACATAAGCAAAAAGAAAAAAGCCGGAAGTGGTGCTGTGGCTCAAGTGGTAGAGTGCCAGCCTTGAGCTGAAGAGCTGAGGGACAGCACCCAGGCCCAGAGTTCAGGCCCAATGACCAGACCCCCCCCCCAAAAAAAGTACCAATTTCAGTCAACACAGTATTTGCCTAATGCCTTGATGAAAACAATTACATCAGATTTGGCTTGATCGCTCTAGGACCTCCTTTGATTAATTTTTTTTTCAAGTATTGCTCGCCATAACCAGTTTGTAGACCTGGATATCATTTTTTTGTCAAAATCACACACGGTTTATACTTATGAAAGTCAAATCTCCAAATATTACTCTCCTAAAGTACTTACCCTAGCATCTGTTCTGTTATGGAACACTACACCGACATTACTTGATTTTTCTTCTCTTTCATGGTATTATCCACTTCCTACTATGCTGGAGAGGAACTAGCTCTTCCAGATAACCAACACCTCTCCTATTCCCCCTCAGCATGGCATGACTGTATGTAAAAATAATTTAAGCCATATCTTTTTGTTCCTGGAGTTTATAATTGCCTCTTATTAATATAAAAACCTATTTTCCAGAGCCAAACTTAAGAAAATCCCCCAAATGCTACCCAGCCTGCCATGTGCCTATGACTAAAACTGCCCATTCTGTAAACTACATTGGTGTGTTCTGTGTTTTTTTTCTGACATGCTTTGCACGAGGAGCTTTTGGTTTACATGCTTCAAACTGCTGAAGGCTTACTATCTAGACTCATCACTACTGAAAACTTGAAAGGAAGAGATGTTTCTGCTTGATAGAGTTACTTCAGTTTGCCCTGCAGAGGGAGTAATAGACCTCACTGCACACTCTGCCTTGTACTCTACCACTGGAACCACACCCCCAGCCATTTTGTTTTTCAAGATAAGATCTCTCCCAACTGCCCATACTGACCACCTCCTGCCTGTACTTCCAGGGTAGCTGGGATAACAGGTTTTTGCCACATTGCCTGGCTCGTGTTCTTACAGTTAGTTTAGTGTATACCTTCTATGTTGTATTTTTAATTTGATATATACTTTTTCTCCATAGAAACAAAAACATCTATAAAGTTTTTTGTTATTGTAGCTGGGCGCTGGTGACTCATGCCTGTAATCCTAACTACTCAGGAGGCTGAGATCTGAGGATCACAGTTCAAAGCCAGCCCAGGCAGGAAAATCTGTGAGACTCTTACCTCTAATAAACCACTAGAAAACTGGAAGTGGCACTGAGGCTTAAGAGGTAGAGCGCTCACCTTGAGATGAAGAGAGCCAGGGACAGCGCCCAAGCCCAGAGTTCAAGCCCATGACCGACAAAAAAAAAAAAAAAATTAAAAAGTGATGTAGAAGGATTGCAGTGACATAAGTCATGTAATGAGTACATTTCCTTTCATACAATTTCATCATTTATGCTTTTTAAAACACTGATTAATCTGTATGGTATACATTGTACCATAGTACATTTATTTTTCTCCAGCAGTCTATTTCAGGCCTTTTTCCACATCTGTTTATGTTTTGTCTTTGCTATTCTGAGATACACCAAGTCCTACTTAACTTGCACACTTAAGTATGCACTCATTAAATATAAGCTCAATTTTATAAGAATTATTACTTCTCTGGCTGGGAAGGTGGCTCAGTGGTAGAGCGCTTGCCTTGCATGCCTGAGGCCCTGGGTTCAACTCCTCAGCACCACATAAGCAAAAAAGAAAAAAAAAGCCAGAAGTGGCGCTGTGGCTCATGGGGTAGAGCGTTAGCCTTGAGCTGAAGAGCTGAGGGACAGCACCCAGGCCCAGAGTTCAAGCCCCATGACCGGACCAAAAAAAAAGAATTATTACTTCTCAAGG